CACACACACGAGTATTTAATGAGGACAGTTCCTTAGCCCTCCTTATGTTGAGTGTGAGCACATACTCATGAAGGTGTGTAAGCCAGCCCTTCATGCCTTTATCTCCCTGTATCAGATGACCAATGTTTCAATTGCCCATTCCAATTCTCTGTCAAACTATTACTGAGGAAGATACCCCTCTACTCATTGTTGGACATTATGGGCTGTAAGTATGCTCCTAGGTCTGAAGAAATATGACTTGGTGATCCAAATTGGTGCAATATCTTCTGTTATGGTTCTTTTATAGTATTCTGAACATTTGCATCTACCACTGGATAAGCAAAGTCTACTTCAAAGACAGTATCTAGTCTTATTAAGACCCCTTGGCTACCAGTATCAGTTTCATTTGCCAGTTATGTGCCCCCAGGGAATCTGCCATATATCATCTGTAGTCTCTTTTGTTGGCAGACAGAACAGTTGTTCATGGCATTTTGTGCTCCAGAGGTGCAAGAGGACTATGTCTAGATACAGGCTTTATCTGCATTGCTGGAGTCTGCCAATGTCCACTCATTTCATACACACAGGTAGCCTCCTCAAACAAGTACAGGGCTATCTGCTGGTGAATTCCAATCACCTTGTGAACCCACAAGTTGGTTCTTCTGATTGGCATCAACACATTCTACTTGTAATGCATCTCTCAAATTCTCATAGTGATTTCAATAGGGCCATACCTCCTAGGGACATCTCTTTCTTTACCAAAAAACAAACAAACAAACAAAAAACAAAAAAAACCCACAAAAAACAAACAAAAAAAACCCTTTTATTTATTAAATAATATCTATGCCCAATGTGGAGCTCAAAATCATGAGTCCTAGATCAAGAGTCACATGCTCTACTGACTGAGCCAGCTAGGTACCCCAGGGGCATCTCTTTAATTGGCCAGTTTTCCACTGCTCTTCTGTCTGACCATATGGCCAGGCCATTGGACGCCACCCCTGAGTCAGTAAAAGCTCAAACCTAGGGGCTTTTTATCATTGTTCAGTTCTTCAGTCACTGCTAAGAAAACCACATATGATTCAGTCTCCCAAGTAGATTTATTTTTACCTTCCTCCAACACAATTTTTAGCCTTTCAAATAAGATGCTGTCTGTTCACCTTGGAATTGCTATCCATTAACCAAGCAGCTTTTTGTTGGTCAATCGGGAAACTGTTTATAGGGCACTATCTGTAGAATAAAATCTGGGAGCTCCTCATGTGGTCCCAAAATCAGTCCAAGGGGAAAAGTCTAGTTGCTTGCTTGTGAATCCACTGGGTAACTTTCTGCATTCTTCTGGTAGCATATTCCTGCACAAACCATCTCCATTTTATTATGGAACACTTCCGAGCACTGCTCTCCCCATTGGCATGTTTCTCTGACCAAACCCAAGATATCACTGATATTTCAGGTTTTAAGGTCATTATTTTTTATTTAAAATTTTTAAATTATGGTTAAATACACATAACATGAAGTTTAGCATCATAACCATTTTTAAGTGTACAGTTTAGTAGTAGTAAGTATATTTACATTGTTGTGCAAAACCAATCCCTGGTACTTTTCCATCTTGCAAAATGGAAGTTCTATATCAATTACACAACAGTTCATTTCTCCTCCCTCCAACTCCTAGCAGCCACTGCTCTACTTTCTCTTCCTATGAAGTTGACCACTCTAGATACCCCATACAAGTGGAACCATCATTCAGTATTTGTCTTTTTGTGACTGGCATGGTTCACTTGGCATAATGTCCTCAAGGTTTATCCATGTTGTAGCAGGTGTCAGGATTTCTTTCCTTTTTCAGGCTAATGTTAAATTGTATGTAAATGCTACATTTTGTTTATCCATTCATCTGTGCATTCATCTGAAGCAACTTGAGTTGTTTCCATCTCTTGGCTATTGTGAATAATTTTGCTGTGAACATGGGTTTATAAATATCTGAGACCCTGTTTTCAAGTCTTTGGATATATACCCAGATATATGTATACACCCAGAGATTGCTGGATCATATGGTAATTCTACTTTGATTTTTTGGAAGAAACACCATACTGTTTCCCATAGTGGCAGCACCATTTTACATTCCTACCAGCAGTCTACAAGCATTTCAGTTTTTCTGCATCCTTGCCAACATCTGTTATTTTGTGGGGTTTTGTTTGTTTTGGTTCTTTGATAGTAACCATCCTAATGGGTGTGAGGTGATGTGATTATATATAACCTTCAGTCATAGAGGCAATTCAATTAATGTCCAATACCAAGCTAGTAACTGCCTCTCAAATGGAAATTCTCTATCCCAAAATCTCAGTAGTCATTACTTTGGGGCACTCATAGGCTTTTGCCATAACCCCGGTTTACACACCACACAGGTCTCTCATACAGAGAAGTCTCCCACACCAACACTCCAGTTTTTATTTTACACTGTGTGGGTTTGGGCAGTCTTATTTGTCCTCATTTAGCATGTCTAACTAATATTCCTTGAAGGGTGGATTGGCATGCCTTGTATTTTACAATACTAGGTAGGGGAAATATTCCCCTACCAGACACAATATCCATCCATTTAATACATTCAGCTGAAAGAGACACAGAGACCCAGTCACTTTCTGTAAAAATTCCAGTTTTCACCCAAACTTCCATTTCAACTCTATCAACCCTTAACATTTCTTTATTCTTTCATTCTGATTACAGCTCCTGTTAGGGATGCACCAGTGGGTTTTGATACCCTAGTGCATGAGGTTCCCTTGTCTATGAGTCCCAGAAACTACTCCACTCCTGACCATTTATCCACTCATAAGACTTTGTGCTCCCAGCACGTGTCCAGCTCAGGGACCTAGGCCATTTGTCAATCTTTATCTTAATTGATCTGGATGACCATTAATTCAGGAGATTTCAATTCAGTTTCTCATTGTAATCTTTACTTTCAGGCTTTTAAAATGCTTCTAAACTGGGGGTAAATAGAGCAGATTTATTTGAGGCTCTTTGATGTTGAAGGACTAGCAGGAGGTCCCATTGGTCTACAAAGCCTTGGATAGTGCTGCATTAAGACTTTTGTTAACCTTATCAATGTCCATTCTATTTATGTCACTTCTTAATAACCATGGGACAAGTCCCCTAACTCTCCTTTCTGCCTTTCTCCATTTTATTGCTAGTAATTTTTTTTTAGCACCTACAAGACCCTTGAGAGGAAGCTGAGATTACAAATTCTATGAGGCTTTTCAGACTGCCCCTCTATTTTGTAACATGAGATGCCTATGCAAAAGGGCCCCTAACCACAACATTTACCATGACCTGGGTAACCAGCATATTCAGTGGGTGAGTATCTTGATTATCCTAAAGCCAGTCCCACATGGCTTACATGTGAAGCATATCAGATACTTCACGTAGGGTGTTCCACTTAGCATTTATGGAGGGAGCTGAACTGTCCTGCTTCTCAGACTTTACAATATTAACCAATCCACCAGGCTGGCTGTTTTCTTGAGAATAACTTGGTATGTTTCACCATTATGTATAGCCGTCTGTGATTGTTCAGTAGTGAGCTGTGGGTCCTGTATCAGTCCAAACATGTGCTTCCGCTCTGCAGCATTCAAAACCAAAGATACCACCCTAAATTAGTCACTCTGTGAACTAGGAAGTCCCATGCAGCACAAAGGACTTGTCCAAACACTGTGCTAAGAGACTCGATGTAAGTCTAGCTTAGTTTCCACCTGTGTTGGGACATGTCTTTAAAGGTGACCCCAGCCCCCATGCTGAGTCTTTGTCTAAGAAAGCACAATGTTCCCACACTGCAAAATGTATATTGTCCCAACCCACATTTCCAAACCATTTTCAGTAATTTTCCACAACCCTCTTCTGTAATTTTTCCATTCCCCCATAGCCCGTTAGTCCCACATTTTTTACTTCTCTATCACCCTTTTTTGTTCCCTCTCTTCTCCCTTTAAAAACGTCTCCTTTGAGTTGGAGCTGAGCTCAGTTTATACAGTTTAAGTTATACTTAAGTCTGTCTTGTCATCTTTAACAACTGTCTGGTGCTGTTTCTGACCCTTCTATGATGTCCCTACTCAGACCTGAATCGGAGCCACCAAAGGACCCTGGGACAGGACAACTGGACTGACTTAGCAAGCATCGAGACATTTTGTCTCCAGTCTGCTTGCTTGTTTAGGTATCTGGTGAGTCTCGACTCCTGATCCAGTGCTCTGGAAGCACAGTGAAGAAAGATTTTGATTGTTAAGATTCTGGGTATACCCTTGAGGTTGAGATAAAGCCCCAGGACTCTTTGTAACATACCATTAGTTAAGGGTATGGGAACTTGTCAGTTCACTGAGCACCCTTCCCCTCCAACCCCTGCAGACTTTATGCTTTGCAGCTATGGCCCTAATACTGTTTACTTTCTTTCTCCCTGACAAAACTTTCCCAAAGACAGTATTGAATTGTAGTGGCCTCTTTGGGCTCCTGGGACATCACCAAAGTAGTTTGAGAGGAGCCCTGGAACAAAAGGAAACAAAAATTTCAGACACACAATGGTCCCTTACTTTGTCTGGAAAGAAAGATTTAAAAAACATCTCCAGCCTCTCACTCTTCCCTGGTGTGTGTGTGTGTGTGTGTGTGTGTGTGTGTGTGTGTGTGTGTGTGAGCGTGTAGAGGGGAGCTCAAAGTTCTAACCCTGTAATCACAGGGTTGGTTCCTTAGGCTACCAGTTCCCATCCTGAAACTATCTAGGACCCCCAGTAGGAGTAACCTTACTAGCATAAATTCAGGTGTGGTCAAAAGGGGCTTTGATGAATAACAAAAGAAAATCTATCCTTCAGGAAATCCCAAAGGTTTTAGGAGCTCTGTGCCAGGAAGTGGGGACAAAAACCAAATGTATATGTACATGTATGTATATGGGTATATATATTATTCCTCAGGTGGTGATAATTTGTATGAAGGTAGTAGAGGTGCAGAAGTAGTTAAGTGAGTGCAGTCTGGATGTATTTTGGGACTGGGGACTGATTGGATAGGGGGGCACTGTTGGGAGAACTGGAGGAAACAAGAATCACCCCCACCCCAACAAGCCCCTATCCATCAACAGGAAAATGAAAAAATAAATTGTAGTATAGTCATATAGTGAGTACTAGAAAATCAAAAAGAGCAGACCACTGGTGCATGCAATACATGGATGAATCACAGAAATAACATACTGAGTGAAATAAGCCAGATACATAACAGTTTATTTTATATGACTCCATTTATATAAAGTTTAAGGGAAGGCAAAACTAAGTTATGGTTGATATAAGTCACCATAAGTTATGGTTACCTCTGGGAGGAAGGTACTGTTTTGAAAGGGACACGAGGGAACTATTTGGGGTGACGGAAATGCTATAGATCTTGATATGGGTCATGGTTACATGGATATGTGCATATGTAAAAATCAGGCAGTAAATTTAAGATTCTATAAATAAACTTACAAGTTAGCCCTCAATAAAAACATTTAGGTAAACATTTAAAGAATAGAAATAGAAGGCAAAGCTTCCATATTAGTAGAGGAAAAAGAGGAATAAAGATAATTCATTTGGTACAAGAGAATGCAAGAAGGATGGGAAAAAAAGGCAAGAAGGGCATTGTTACCGTCACACAGTAAGCTGACAGAAAGAGATGAAAAACACTGAGCTATGTAAATATTAGACAAAACAGATTAAAATAAAAATGTTACGGATTATGAGGATCAATTACATAATAAAGGCAGTTATCAGAAATACATAGCAATTCTCAATTTTTATATATCCAACAATATAATCTTAAGTTACATGAAGCAAAAATGTGCATAAAAAAATAAAGAGAAATGGACAAATCCACAATTATGGGAAAGGTAAAAACCATTCTCGGTGATTGACAATTCTATCAAATAAAAATAGGATAAGGTAGATTTAAACAGCACAATATAAAGAAAGAATTCTACCCCACTATTTAGAGAATATAGACTTTCTTCTCAGGCATATATAGAACATTACACAGACAGGCAGACACACACACACAAACACACACACACATTCATTCACTGACAGCAGGTCACAAAACAATTCTCAACAAAAACAAAAGAATGGAAATCATACAAAACATGTTAGGAAATAATAACTCCCAAAATCTGTGTTTTTGAAAGTTTGAAAACATACTTCTTTATAATTCATGAATCAAGAAAGAAATGAAAATGAGAAAATGGTAGGAACTGAACAACTGAAAATACCATGTATCACAGCTCAGGACATACTGTTAAGTAATATAGAGAGAAGTAGTTTTAAATTTAAATACAGCAATTAGAGGAAACTTTTTTTTTAATGTTTATTTATTTTTGAGAGAGAGAGACGGAGCACAAGCCGGGAAGGGTCAGAGAGGGAGGGAGACATAGAATCGAAAGCAGGCTCCAGGCTCTGAACAGCACAGAGCCCAATGCGGGTCTCGAACTTGTGAACCAGAAATGTAAAATTTCTAAGTAAAGTATGAGCAAACAAAAATAAATGTATTTAAAAATAAATACATCCCAAACAGGTAGACTTACCTTACAAATACAATAATGATTTAATAAAATCTGTTACTGCAACTTATCACATGAACTGATGTGATGCATTTAACTTCCATTTGTGCATATTAAAAAAAATCTTAAAACCTTAAAAACATCCCCATAAAGTCAGAAAAATCATAAAAATGCCTGCTTTCACAACCTCTTTCAATAGTGTGTAGCTACTGCAGTAGTAAACCGACATAACACATATGTGCACATGTATATATACACATATTACATACACAAACATTGACATCTCATGACTATTCAGTTAACTTTTCATAAAGCAGCCTTTGAAAAATCTAAAGTATTTTTGTAAAAAGCCCCCAAACATACTATAGTTTTTTTTAGAAAGTGGTTTTAGGTGTCAAATCTCAAGCAAAGCTATGTTCACCAAGTTACTCCATTCAGAGAATATCATATGGAACAAACTTGAATGGTGTACTTTTCTTTGAACCCAAATGTTCTGTTTCACTGAGATGTACCTCCTCTTGAGAGGAAGAGGCAAAGGCTTCAGTTTGTTATGCTTGCTAAGGTGCTACTCTGAATAATGTCCAAGAGCTCTCATGTTTTCTCTTTATTTTTCCTAAAGGTGGCTTTCTGTGAAATACCTTTTTATTAAAGGGCAGTACTACATAAAATTCTGAGCCCTCTGAAGGCTGACAAATTGAAGAAAATGGTGCAGAAGGGAAAAATTATGCATCCAATTTTTCCTATTCCCACAACCAATCCCCCACTATCAAGTCTTCTCATCCCCATTGACGAGTGAAAAAATTCTTGTTCTTCATACCTTTCACGTACAAACTGCATTTTTCGACGTTTATTTCATTTTTCAGTTGGGTTTTTTTTTTTTTTTT